CGGGCTCCCTCCGCGGGGCCTGTCAGCCGCTACCGGGGGGCCGGCACGGGGCAACAGCCCGCCCCGCACACGCTAATGAGGAAGCACGCGTGGGTTCGTGTGTTTGTGTGTTACTCGGCTACCGGCATGACCGTGGTACAAAAAGCGGCAGAAAGTGCAGCTGGCTGTATTTTCCTTTTTCGTCCTCTTAAGTTGTTATTTATTTATTTATTTATTTATTCTCTCTGGAGAAAGTGTAATTAAAATAACTACCGGTGAGGTATTCAGGGTTGTATCTGCTACACGGATGCTGCCTCCTGCCCCTTCGGCCTTAGCCGGGCCGGTGCACACCTGTGGGATCACGCTGACCTCAAAGGGGGGGGGGGGAAATGTTAAAGCGAGTAAAATCGCCAAGCTTGTCCAGCCGGCTCTGTTTCATCCCTGGGTTTCGTCATCCTTTCGCCGTGTTTCACAACAGTGAGGTGGCAGTGCGACCCGCTTGAATGTTGCGCGTTGTTGGCATTGCAGTCATGCCACCGGCATCTACGAATGAAAATACAGCCTTGGTATTTTTTGTGTTCTTCTGGTAACCAAGGCTGATGCTCCCTGCACGGTTGTGCTAGCCTAGCCCTGTCTGAGGAGAGAGTGTGTTTTCATACATGCACACATACACACTAGTGTGGACACAGAGAGTTCTTACTGTTTGTTTCTCCATTTAAAATTCTTTGTGTGTATAGCTGCATCAGTGCTCATCAGTGTATTGCATATATATGGTCATATTGGTAAAAATCTAGAGTATAGAAGAGGCCTAAAATATAATTGTATCACTTACTGTACTCCCATTACTTCCTTTACACAAGAATTTAAAGGCTAGTAAAAACTGACATAGACATATCCAGAAGTCTTTTTTTCTGTGAGTGTAAAATATGTGTAGTTCCCAAGTCTGAGAACTGCAATTTCTATATCCCAGACTCGTGTGTGTGTGTTTACATGTTTTCTCCTGATGAGCATGTCTCACCTAGTTGGTTACTGGCTGTGCTTGGTGTTCTTTCTTAGGAGTAAAAAAATAAAAATATGTTAATGAGCCTGTTTCAAAGTTGTATTGTACATACTGAAGATTTAACTTAATGTTAAATCTCTGATTAACTAGACTAGCAGAAGATTTTTGGCAAAAAGGGAAAAATAAAAATGGCTTGCTTTATTTTGCTCTATTTTCTCTTAAAAATTTATTAATTGAGGCTTAAATTATTGCGGATTATAGAAGTTGACTTCAATGGGATGTTTGTCAGTGTAAGAACTTCGAAGTTTGAGAGCTTTCAGGGAATGTGATCAGTGTGTTGTATATGTTATTGAAAGCATTGGTGAGAAGATTATGTCCACAGAGAGCTTACCTTAACATTTCCTTGAAGTGTAAGTTTGAAATCTGTTGTCAGATGTGAGGGGTTTTATTTGTTGTTGTTGTTTTGTTTTCAACTTTCTTTGTTTTAACTTCAGGGAAGGCTCAGGCAGAAGGTGGATCAGCTCGGACATCACTTCTTATTTTAGTGTCTATCTTCTTATCAGCTGCTTTCCTTATGTTCCTGGTATATAAAAATTTCCCGCAACTTAGTGAGTAAGTATGTGAGGAAAGATTATTTTATTTGCTTTTCATTTAGCATCAAATTGTAGAGGAGCCCAAATGGAGTTAAGTAATTTTTAAACTGACATGAGTTAATTATAAATATAACCTTATTTTTTTAAAAGGGAATTTAAGTGTATAACCTAGAATGTCAAGATACAAAGCTTAATACTGAAATACTAACCAGTAAGATCTGTGTAAACAGAGTTGTACTTGACCTAGGGTTTCTGTTAGACAACTGAGATAGTGTGTTTTGGGAAGTTACCCCTGTCAGATTAGCAATAGTAACTCACTGTGTTCTTAAGCTTCTTCAGCTGAGTGCCAAAACATGATTAGTTAGGGCTAGGTTTATTATAAAATTCCCTGTGCACTGGTATAACTGCAGGCTGTCATCAAAAGGGAACATCCTGCTTCCTTCATAGCTAAGCTTCCCATTCTCTTTTTCTCCTTTTCCGTTGCATCTAGTACTCATGTTGGAAAGGTAGATAGATGGAAGCCTGCTTGTCTGACAACTTTCTTTTTTTCTTTTAGTAGTTAAATTTTCTGTCTGATTAACTTGCTCAACAAGTTCAGTTTGCAACAGTCCAATCACTAAGTCTGATACAGAGGAAGAGAGGACACTCAACTGTGCTGCCCAGGGTTGCACCAGATTAAGGTGTGACATGAGATTTTGCTCTTAAAGCTTTGTTTGTTCGTGAGGTAAAGCTCTGCCACTTTTGCTGCACTTCAAATGTTATGACCCTAGTGTTGAGGCAGTTACAGTTGGTTTTGCCTGAAATGTTGACTGCTGTTCAGTTGCCAAGATTTGGTTTGAGTAATTATTTCTTTTTGATCAGTACTTGGTGAGAAAAAATCCCCCCAAAACCAGCTAGAAATGAAGCTGATTGTGGTAATGAAGAAAAGAATATGGTTTCCAAATATCTAAAATTGAGGATTTTCTAATACAAAACACTGCAAATATGTGTTCATCTAAGAACATTATCACAACAATAATCATGTGCTTGTTTGCTGAGGTTGTAGTTTAATGAAGTAGTGCATCTAATTATATATTCAGTAAGTAATTTTACTATACTGTTGGATTATATTTACCACCATTTCTGCCTTTTTCTTTTTTTTTTTTTTTTTTTTTTCCCCAGAGAAGAAAGAGAATGTATAAAGGTTCCTAGAGATATGGATGATGCAAAGGCCTTGGGAAAAGTCCTGTCCAAATATAAGGACACATTTTATGTTCAAGTATTAGTGGCTTATTTTGCCACATATGTTTTGTATCCTTTTTCTGATATAAATGACAGTTTTTATATTGTCAAATTTCTCTGAAAAAGAAATGAAAAGTACAAACTTAAGATTCTTGATCATGGGTGAAGAAGGCTAACATACCTAGGTGTGTTTATAAATAGGCACAGATATTCCAAAATCTTTGAGCTTAAAAACAGTTCTTATGTGTTTCAGTATGCTTTTTGGACTCTTAAGAGATTGAGTAGAAGGAAATTGTGTAGTAGTGTGTGTAGTAGTAAATGCTGTTGGGGATCGGCATGCAGCTTCACCTTGGCTGTGTCTGTTATGGACAATATCATTAGCTTTGGTATTAGCCTTGGTCTCACTTCAGAGTTATGCTAACTTTTTAAATTGCAAACTGAATTGCCAGTTAGAAATTACTGTTGATTCTAAAGGAATACTGAGACTACTGCACTGCTCTTCCTTGAGACATTCGAAAGTGCCATATAAGGATTGTTTACAGAATATTTTACAGCATTTCTCAAGAAAATGTTTTGAGTCTTCTTTCATTTCTGCAGCACCCACATTCAAAAAACAAATCTCTGTTTCCTTTTAGAGTGCACTAAACTTCTGAAGTACTTTCTGCCTAGGGAGACACAAAGGCTATCTGTGTTCTGTGTTAACTTCTTTTTCCTAAGTGCAGAATATATTAATTAATCATTAAACACACTCTTAACTGGAACACTTAGCTAAAGGTTAATAACTTTAAAAAGCTGTATAAGAGGTCTGTTTCATAGTTTAATGCAGGAGGCTTTCGTAACTCGGAGAAAAATCAGCACTGAATGTGCCACTAGTAATTATCTTTTAGCTTGTTCTTTTTAAGTGTAGTTCACAAATAATAATTTTGAAGAAAATTAAAATCTTAGCTTATATATTAACAAGAAGTAGAACAGAACTGGCTGTTTATTGAACTACTGTAGCAGCTGATGTGACGACATTTATGGTTTTGGCCACAGACAGTGATCAGTTGACAAGCATGTTACAGTTATCTCAGAACTTTGACACTTGCTTAGAAAAAGCTGTAGTGGTTGTAATGGACTTAAAATAAAGGAAGATTACTTGGCTTTTTGATACAGTCAGTTCAACTCAGCTGAAATAGTGTACAAATTTTTTTGCTTTATAAGATTTCTGTCAAAAGCAGGCAACACATCATAAGTCTACCCCTTGTTTCTCTGTGCTTGGACTTCTTATGCTACTCTGCAAATGTATTTGGAAGTAAAGATCTTTGGAGGCTATGCCTATTTATATTTATGCTTTTTTAAACTGTAATATATACCCCGACTGCTTATAAAATTAAGAATTGGGTAATTCTAAAAATTTCTTTTTTCTTAACTAAGATGCATCCAGCTTGCAAACATTTGCTATCCCTGGGTCTATATTTCTTAGTATCCTGTCAGGGTTTCTTTATCCCTTTCCACTGGCCTTATTTCTTGTTTGTCTGGTAAGTATGGAAAACAATTTGTGAGGGCATATATTTCTATGCATTTGGAGTACAACCAAGCATCTGAACAGATTCCTGTTTGAAATGATCAGAGTCTGAGTGAAACGGGGTATGAATGAGTTCTCATTCAGCTCTGTTGTGAGAATGGCATTGCCCACAAAATTCAGTGCAGTGTTGGGTGGTGATCCAAAAGACTGAACCGTTTCTCCAAGTTTTCTTAGTAACGGAGGCAGTTGGATGTGAATCAGCCAGAGTTTCCTTTACCTTAAATTTGTCTAGCATCTACCAGAACCCGATTGTAACTGCAGAACATGATAACATTTTTATTATCACACTGCAAAACACATTTGTTTTTAAATGGCTTAAATACCCAAGAAGCTTAAATTGAAAGATGTATGTTATTGACAAGCTTCAAAAAATATCATTTACAAAAGATGCAGTCCTAACGACCCTTAGTACTTAGGAATGAAATAATTGAGTAGGTATGGAGGACCAAACTGATGAATTTTCAAGTTTGAATCTTGAATGCCATTGTGCCCCTTATTTGTAAAGCTTTCACTGTTCAAAATCTTAAAACTACAGAAGTGCTCAGTATTAACTCAGTAATCAACATTGTCTACTTGGAAATGAAAGAGCTGTCTGGTCGACAGCATTCTTTGTGAGTGTGTGAAGGAGAGCCCTTCAGCCTCAATGCAGGGCTGCATAGAAGCAGGCGTCAGCCAGCTGATACAGTAAATAGAGATATAAGGCTAAGATTAGAGTTTCTGCTCATTTGTTTGTTTGTTTGTTTTTTTCCAGTGCTCAGGACTTGGAGCTTCATTCTGCTATATGCTTTCATACCTAGTGGGACGTCCTGTTGTGTACAGATACTTAACAGAAAAAGCAGTAAAATGGTCAGAACAGGTAAAGTTTCTAGAGATGCTGAAATTGATGATAGAAAATGTATAGTGGAATAGCATGGAAAAGTAGGGTGTCTCATGCTCATGTATCTAGTTACAAAGAAAGGATTCTGACGCCTTTCTGACACTGCAATTACTTTAAACGGTGGGAAATATTCCTCATTTTATGGTATTTCCTGTGAGGAAGCTGTTTTTACCTAGGAGGAGTTTGTGACTGAAAACCCCTCTGGTTTAGCTAATGTCAATAGGAAACCTCTCTGGTTTTGATTTAAAGTAATAGCTCTCTAAGCATCAGAACTAATGAAAGCTGGGTTTGTGGGTTTTGTAAGGGAAGCAAACCCATAGCTGTACATCTGATTGCAAAATATTAATTTGAAGATGTTATTGTGGCTGGAGCATTTAGAAACTTTCTTTTGCATATCTGGTAATGTTCGTTTCAGCAAGTGTTAATCGTCAGATGAAATTAAAGGTTTTGCAATACAAAACCATGGTGTGATTAGTATTTGACCTCATGTCTCTTGCTTGGATACTCTGAAACATGTTTAAACACATTTTTTTTTTCCTTCTGCAAGTATGAAGCACAACTTGCTACTGTACTCTGTTCAAGGTGTTTGAATCGCATAGAAATATTTTAAACTTGTTCCTCATTAGGTAAGATGTGGAGCTGTGTCCTGCACAATTGACCTTATTAAATAATACAGTAGTATTTTGACTCTTGACCCAAGTAAATCTTAATATCATAGTATAATCTTGAGACTATTCTCTGAGCGGCAAATGGTTACTATTTCCATTACTAGAACTGGATATGTGATTTTAAAATTATGTAACTACATGTGCAGCTCATATCTCACTGTCTCCAGGTTAATTGGACTATGTCATGCTTGAGTTTTGAGGGCTAAGACATTTTATATGCAGGATTAATCAATGTTTAAATATTTATCCTTCACTAAGATCTAAAAAACCCCATAGTGGTATTACTGAACAATAGTGGGCCTACTGACATGTGAGTTCAGTTGGAATTGCAATTGGAGCAGGTTTGACTTCCAACTGTTTGGAGCTGGATGACCAGGCTTAGACTTAGTGAAGGTCTGCCAGGATAGGCCAGAAGTGGTGGATGCTTTGCTACCCTTGTAATTTGGTTTGAAGTTACAGTTCTTGTTTGAAAGGGCTGATGTGCTAAAGCCAGGCTGGAAAGAGAAGAGGCTTTGATGTAGTAATAGTGTAAGGAGCTGAGCTAGACTTGAGAAGGTAATTTAGAATGTAAATAAAGTTGGGGCTGTTGTGGTAATGGGTAATGTTAATGCTAGGCATTGTACCATATGGGGAGATAGGTTTTGCAACTGTGCTGGTAGCAGCCACCTCATGAACTTCAGAGGCATGACCTGGGTAAGTTTCCAAGTGAGGACTACAGCTATGTTTCAAGTTTGATCATGAGTTAGGACAGAATAGGTTGAGGAACAAACTTTTTGCTAGTTCCCGCAAAAGCTTTACGAATAGGATGATGAGCTGGCCATGTTGATTGGGCTACAGCTAGGCAGGCAGAGGTTGCTGCACTAAAGTCAGAGTTAAGCCTGCTGCTGTGCCAAATTACTTGTTTGCTGTTTAAGTTGGCTGATTCAGACACCATGCTCTGCCACAGACTGGTATTTCCAGACTAACTTCAGCACTATTTAACAGGTGATTCACTGATGACTCTTCCTTGAGTCATTTATTGTTTAACTGATTTTTATGATTGGGACTTGTAAGTTTCTACAAAAGAGAGACAAAAACCCCTAGCAAACCTCTAGTAGTAAAGTCATTGTGTATTTTCAAGGCAGGGATTTTTTTACTGATTTTGTTTGTTTGTTTTGCAGGTTGAAAGACACAGAGAACACCTCATTAACTACATAATATTTTTGAGAATAACACCTTTTCTTCCCAATTGGTTTATCAATATAACATCTCCTGTAATTAATGTGCCATTGAAAGTATTTTTCATTGGCACTTTTCTAGGTAAGAATTCTGGCTAGTGAACTGCGGTTTGGGGGTAGCCAGAGGAAGGGATATTATTTGCTCCTCTCTGTATGTGGTGTTCAGCAGAGATCACCATCTGCTGGACAGCTGAAAGATTACATAGTAAGATTGGGTTTGTACTTTTCAATGTGTGGAGTTCATAGCATCAAAAGGTTGTAGTAGTCAGGACTATTCTGATGTACTGGATGAGAGGTAATGAGCCCAGGGTAATTTCTTGCTTGAGGAAACATACATTCTATGAACACCATATTAGTAACCTTTTGTTCCGCTCCATGACTATAATGCTTCTGTGAACTTCTATAAGCTCCTATTTTGAGCTCAGCATAATTGTGTGAGGGTGTATGTGACTTTGATATGAAGGATTGTTTCTCCTTTTCCCACTCCATTTTGTTCATCATAATATATCTTCCTAGGGGTGAATTCAGAATTTAACTAATATAGTGCTGAAAAATTTAGTTCTGTAATTGGCATATTTTTTTGCAAATACTTTTTAATCTGGCTAGGCAACAGTCTGTGTTTTTCCTTTATGAACTTAAAATTGGTTTGTAGAGAGACAGCTTGAAACTGCAGAGTCTAAGAGCAGAGATTATTTTCTTAGTGTTCTGTGTTTGAGTTGGTGTTAAAAATAATAAAAATGGCATAAAACCAGTTCTTTTGGTAAGGTTTTTTTGTCTTTGCATTTTGTATCTACATTCCTCTTAAAAAAAAAAAAAGTACAAGGCAACAAAGTCTGAATTTTTTGATGTTAAAAGTTGGATGACCAATCTGTGATTTTTTTTTTTTTTTTTAAATTTTTTTCACCCTAACAAGCTGTTTTTTCTTCCTTTGCTCTGCTCCCCTTTTAATTCCCCACTCCAGGTGTGGCACCACCGTCTTTTGTAGCCATTAAGGCAGGAACAACGCTGTACCAACTTACAACAGCAGGGGAAGCTGTTTCCTGGAACTCTGTTTTTGTTCTCATGATTCTAGCCATCCTCTCCATCCTACCAGCTGTCTTCCAGAAGAAACTGAAACAGAAGTTTGAATAAGGATCAAACTGGACCGGAATTTCTCATACTTCATCTCAGGATCAGCACTTCTGATATTTGTATATTTGCTTTTCTATTGGATCGTAAGGAATTAATGGGGAGGCTTATAATTGATAAGAACGCCGTTAAATGAACACATGGCCTAAAATAGAAGGAACTGTGTTCAGAAATGTACTGCATATAGTTTTGTAACCAAACCATCAGTGTTTTACTTTGGGAGCGTGCATCTGGGGGGCCCTCAGGATGAGGGAAGTGAAAACACAGATGTAACATTTTGCTCTGATTATCTGCAGAGTAAAAATTATTATGTAGACATAAACTACAAATAATGCTTTCTAAAACTTGCAGGAAAAAACCCTTAATTATTCAGTCTGATTTTGTAACATTCTCTGAAGGCTTGCACATGATCTGGTCTGACTACATTTCTTATTAGCAATATTTATTTTTTTTTTTTTGCCTTTTGGAGTTCCAAAATAATAGCATAATATAATAACGGTGCTCACTCAGAAACAAAGGGTTTTTGCAGTACTTTAACTACAATGATATTCTCATCCTGATTGTTTACTTCTATTTATTAGTGCTGTGTGGTTTTAAAATACTTGAACCTACATCTGCTTTACTAACTGGATTAACAAAGGCAAAGTGTCACATCATTCCCTCTTGTCCTCTGTAACGTGTGGTTGTTTTTTTTTTTTTTTTTCCTCTGGAAGAGGATATAGGAAGGGGGTAAGCAGGTTAGAATTTTTATCATGACTGGCTGATGATTTTGAAGTTCTAATTTTAATTTTTTAATGTTGATTATTTTGCCAATATTTGACTTGCATAGATTTATCCTGCCAATTTAAGAAAATGATCATATGATTATATAAAACTCTCAGTTCTCAAGTGATTCAAAACCATATAACTTTAAGCAGTGTAATATTACCATTTCTCAAGCAATATGTAAAGAGTATAAAATTTTCCATTGCAGCTGGATTAGCTAGAAATGTCAGGTACATAAATTGGTGCAGTTCTTAAAGAGCTGATTCCAAATAACGTTTAAAGTGTCGCTAACAGAAGGTTCATGTGTCAGTGTACATAAAATTGAAAGGGTGATTCCATTGTCTGGTAAGTCAGTAGCTGTTGATGGGCAACCAGCTGTGATTCACCTTTAGGTAAAAGTGCGTATATTCACTCAATAAGGTATGTGATACCTCCCCTTGTATGCTTATAACTGTGGTAGTTTGTTGTATTGTCAGTGGAGTCCCATAAAATGAGGCCCTGGTCAGCAAGGAACTGGGGCAT